GCCCGGCCCGCCCCGCCGAGCGCCCCGCGTCCCCCGCGCCCGCCGCCCCCACAGGGAGCCGCTTCCCGCGCTGCCCGGTTAGGAAATGGACGTTCCGCGCTGGCCTCGCCAAGTGCCTGGGCACTCTGCGGGAGGCGGAAAGCAGCAGCAGCAGCGGGAAGGTGCGAGGCAGGTGGCTGTTAAACCCATTGCCAGTGAGTCCCCAGAACACCAGTTAGGTTCCCACTCCAGCTCTCACTATTTTTGCATTATTATTATTTTGCTGTTTTTTTTTTCCCTGCACGTTTTGATGTAAATCCTACACAGCACGTGTACACACACATACGCCCAAACAGAAGTACCGAGAGACTCTTGGAAATGGAGTAGAAACTGCCACGAAATGATGCCAGCTGTCGTTCAAGCCAACAATTTCCAAAGAATTGAAGCAAGTGCAGTAATACCCCTAGACTTTCTTGAGATTAACCCCCTAATTATCGTGAAGGGCTTGAAAAGTAAGATTTGCATTAGGCTTAGCATGCATTTTGTGTATTCTAGTATATTTTAATCTCATATCGTTAGATTTAGTGCTATTAGGCATTGGAAGGCTAATGTCCMAGGCAAAAGACTAAGAATATATTCTTGCATGCCTGGTTTTGAAGAAATGCCATATCCTTTTAAAGTGTAAAAAATAGCAGCAAAACTCTATCCCTTTAAGTGTAAAATCCTAGCAAAGCCCGTTGCCTATCAGGCCGATGGAGTCAGCCAAAAATCTTGAGCAGACAAGGCGAGTCATGTAAGAGATTTACCCATSCAAGAGAGCAAAGGCTGGCATCCCTTCAACATAAACTTCCTAAAGGAAAGGCAGGAACGCGGCTGCAGGTAGGTTAATTTGTCAAACAGGTTGGGGAAAGCTGTGACATTGCTGAAAATCCGAGAGCGGGGGTTGCCTCCCGACTGATGCTGTCAGAAACTGGTTTCTCGGGACTGTCTCTGTGCTTGCACAAGATACGCCCCGCACCGGAGAGCATRGCCAAAATCCTGAACACCGCCAGACTCGAACCGGGATCTGAAGAGCAGAGCTGAGGGCAGGAGCAACCTGACCTGGAGTGACTGTTGGGCTGCACATAGCAAGGTTAGGCCCACGCTGCAGGCTTGGCCTGGAATCTCCGGAAAGGAGAGCGTGCCTGGAGAGCGCAATCGCCTGGACTCTGTGGCCAAGCAGAGCTACGTCTTGCCCGAGAGCCCTCTGGTGTCTCCAGCACTTCAGTGCAGCAGGATTGGAGCAGCTGCAGGGCTGCTCAGGGACATTCTCCACGTTTTGTTTTGGCAGCGGAATGGAGGCACCTCCAGGACCAAACTCTTCAGGTTGTTTGCTTTTTTTTTCTCACAAATTCCACTGACTTGGTCCCTGCCCTTTCACAAAGTGCCGCAACTGTTTGCACTGACAGCATGGCCCTGTTGAAGTCAAACTCAGGGAAAGCCAAGGCAAACTCGGGGAAGCTTCAAAGTTTCGCAAGTGTTTTAGCAAGCAGTTGTTGTACTTCACCCAGAAGCACGCTGGGCGTCCCAGGAGGGTGGGCTGGACACTTATGTTGCAGTGGTTGTGTATAGAAAGGTTAATGCTGAGCTTTAAATCTCCATTTCAGGCTACAGGCTGCATTCACACTGTGTTGAGATGAGCGAGACAAATGAGATAGGGACAGTTGTCCCAGGCTGCTTGCACACCCAGACATTTATATTACTGCTTTGGAAACAGTCTGCGCTTCAAAAGCTTTCTTTGGAAGCACAGAAGTGTTTTTTCTTTTAACTCAGAAAGCAAAATACAGGTCCTGACTGCAGATTTTGGAGTCCCAGCGAAATCTRGGTTACATCACACAAGGCAGCTCCTCAGGCCGATCCCCGGCCACGCCAGCCGGTCGGAAGATGTTGCGACACTGGGACACACGGGACACGTGTCAGCACCCAGCTGGCTCAGGCTCTCCACAGTGCCACCGAGGACGTGTGACTCACTCATTTCCTCAGCAGGACCGCGTTCCTTATCCCGGAAAGGGCTCTTAGCTCCCACCATTGCCATGTGACCGCTCTGGATGTGGCACCCAAAGGACCTTCCCTTGCCCAGGTACCTTGGCAGCCGCACACTCCAGTGAGTTCCCGTGTGCTTGAACGGGAAGGACACTGGAGCATGTGGGTCTGAGACCATGCGTCTTTGTCCAAGTGCCTTAGGAAAATATGGATCAAACAGTGAGCAGGGAAACACACCCCTTCAACAAGGCAAGTGCCCACATAGGGTGATGTTGGGAAATGATCCTCACCTTTTATCCACAGCTCTCCTGCTCTGGGTAGAACACGACTGTGCAGGTCTTAGTGCTTAGTGCCAACAGAAACGCATTAGAAAACAGAGTCCCTTCCATGCTGAACAATGGAAAGGAGAAGAAAAGGAGCAACTTCCTGCTGGTTGCAGACAGGGACCCCAGTTATCCTCCCAGAACTGAGAATTCAGGCAGGCATTGATTAAGTATCCTCCCTGGAGGATGGCAAGTGCCAGCACAAGCGCTGAAAGAGGTAAATGGAAACACACTTTACATAGTCGCTTGGGACAAAGTCAAGTGAATGGTAAGTTAAAGATTGCACAGGGAAGCCATAAAGTCTTCTCTCTCTTCCATTCCCCACCCACCAAACTGCCCGTAAATGGCATCTTTTTGAGAACTGTAAAGAAAAGTGTGTCAGCAGACAGGGTGACTAGGAGGGTAGTTAGGGTCAGGCCACTTGGGACAGGGCTGACTAACAGCTCAGAAGCAGGATTTGCATTGACTGGCTGTGTTATCTCACCAAGTAAATAGAGGAAAGAGAAAGCTTCCAAGGGCCTCGCCTGTGTTGCTGGGGAAGTCAAGGCGCTAATGATCCTAATCAGAGATGACCCATCTGCCAGGCAAGGCTGTAATTCAGTTCCTGCAAAGCAGGTGTGAAGTGCAGGTCCCTGGCAGAGGAGCCTTGGGGCTGCAGAGGAGCCTTGGGGACTGCCGAGACATCCTTCAAGGCAGGGCAAGGACGCTAGCCCCGCGGGGAGCATCATCCCATCAGGAACGCTGCCCTTTCGGGAGGTGCCTCCTGATGCCTGGAGATGACAGGAGCGGAGACAAGCGACGCTCGCCAACTTCATGGCCACTGGGTTGTTCAGGRATCTACAAGTGGCGGCAGGAAGGGATGAGATCCTACACTGCATAGACGGGGCTGGACCCATGGGCTGTAGCAGCTCCTGTGCACAGCTGGTGCATGATGACCCTCTCGAATCGGAGACCTGTAGGCTCAACATGACCATGCTTGTTGCTCTCACCCAACCAAACCTGCAGTAGGGCAGTAGGGGTTTTGTTTGTTTGTTTGTTTGTTTGTTTTTTGAGTATGTACAATGAAGACAACTGAACAGAAAGTGTCAGGGAAATAGCCAAATCTCCTTGAAAGAGACTGCTAGTTTTGGGGTAAGAGCATCCCACCTGCTGCTGGCAGAAAACAGAGATGGAAGATCTTTGAGCCATCACACAGTCTTGCCTTGGGGCTAAGGAAGAGCTACAACCCCTGCTCCAAACCTGACAGATTTCAGTCCATGCTTTTCTTAAAAATCACCCATGGTCAAATTACCACAGCCTCCTTAGATGGTCTGAGACCCATTTAACCTYCCTTTTAGAAACAGTTTTCCTAACATCTAATGTTCCCTTCTCTTCGCTATAGAGGTAAAGGATGGAAAGCTGCTGCCAGCTTTGGCTCACAGTGCTCAGAGGCTGTGGGGTGTTTGCAAGGGCACTAAGCGCAGTTTTGCGAACACRCTCACAGCCTCCTGCAGCTGGGAGAAGGCGAAAAGCTGAGGAGAGAGCACAGCCCTCGGCCTGACCCCGTCGTGGCAGGCAAATTGCCTGCTCGCTCCCAGAGAATTTATAGCTGTTATTTCTTATTTGCAATTTAAGAGTCCTGGTTTTGAAAGGAAAACATTCTTTCTATGTGTTTAAAATACGATTCTTCGTGGTGCTATAATTCACACGGCCTTACATCCAGTTTTAGGAGGTACAGTCTCTAGCGGTGTGACCTTTCCACGGGGAGAATGTGTGAAGGGAAAGCAAAAGGAAGGAAGGGAGCTGCGTTTGCTGCTTTTCCCATTCTTGAAGATTTCTGCTGGAGCAGAGCGGGAAAGAATGGACTACATGAGGTTATCTGGAGATCCATTCGCACCTCTGCTTCTCACTAGTACTTAGGGCTTACTCACATTTCCTCCATTAAAAAGGCATGATGTCAGTTAAGCTTATTCCCAGACAGCCCTATTTGACACAAGAAAGTCCAAAGAGGTATTTTTTTTTTTAAGGAGGTGTTTGTATATAGATGAACTTGCCTTCTGTTAAGATCTCTGCATCGTACATTCCCCCGCCTGCACTGCGTGGGCCGCCTCTGGTGTCCTCTACTGCTGCAGACAGGGCAAGGGTTTGCACAAGGGCTCACAGACTAATTCACTTTGGATTTAAGCAGCCAAAGACTCC